GGTGACACGTGGACATGCCACGTCACACCTGTGAAGGGCAGATGTTTAGGGTAAAAATACCCCTAAGACACGTGGCCCTATAAAGGCTTGCCACGTGTTAAGTTTGTAACGGTCAGCAAAGGTCCACTCCCCTTGCGACACGTGTCATTGTACCCTAAATTGAGGTACAACTCTCCCCTACTATAAATTGTAAGGGCGGACCTCATTTATGGGGATCGAATCATTTTCCAACCACCAACAAAACACAAATCCCCTTGCAAACGCTCTCAAATCGAGAAGCATTTATTGTCTTATTCCCTCATTAAGAAAGATACTAACTTGATCTTCGGAGGCGGAACACCCCAGCCCCAGCCAGAGTTTTCCGTTACTTGTGCAGGTACAGGCAAAGGAAGGAGCATACTAGGAAATTGTAACTCTCCCGTAGGACACATAAAAAACCCCGAAACACTTGGTAGGTCATAAATGAAGAGTTTACGAATGACCCTATTCGAAGGTTATAAAAAAGAATCCACAAGTCATCATTTATCCCAAGTTTTATCATATCTCCCCGATGATAGTGTCTAGAAGGTTGCAACTTCTTTTTTTTCATATCAGAGTATATTGAGGAGTGGCTTTTGTTTAAGAACTTTAAGGTGGGAAGGGTATTGGGTTGGTCTAACTTTGGGTTTTGGGACGATTGTCCCGACTTTGAGGTTTTCTCTTTTTCCCAATCCTTGTACTCAAGACTACCCTTTTTTTTCTTCTGTTTTCACTCCTTTTTCAAAGTCAACTCCTGACTATTTCCAACCTTAACCTCCACAAACCACAATGTACTTGTTTCACAACAATAATAATCCAACAACCACAACTAAATATATCCAACAACAATTTCAACAATAGTCAACAGTATCCAGCAATATTTTCAACAATAATCTACAAAATCTCGATGATAACTAAAGATAACCAAAATCCTCACTTTAAAATTCAAAAGAGATAAAAATAACAAAGGGATTTTGAATAGTGTGAAATTTGTGTGAAAAATTGTTGTTTTTGACTAATGAACGGATGGAAGCGCTTGCGGGAGATGAACGACGATGATGATGACGAACGATGATGATGATGATGAACGATGATTGCGGAAGATGAGAGAGATCTTAACAAATAGGGCGTGCGTTTTAGAGAGAGGAAGGTTATGTGGGAGGTAGGTTATATAGCGCGCTCGCGCAAAACATAGACGCGCCCGCTCCAAAACAAGCGCGCCTGTGGCATTTAATTTTCGCAGATCGTGCTGAAAGCGTGTCAAAATCACGCAGACTCTCTGGATTGAGTTAATTTTTTGGACCAAAACATAGGCGCGCCCGCTCCTAATATGGTGCGCCCACGCTATCTTGAATTCGCGGATCGCTCCTGAATCGCGACAAAACTGCTCCAACTCTCTAGATTATGGAGCTTTTCAGACCTTGGTTTAGGCGCGGCCGCTCCATAATATGCACGTCCGCGCCACTTTGTTCGCGCGGATCGCTCTTCAATCGCGAACAAATTGCGCAGGCTCTCTACCTTTGGTTTTCATTTGACCTCAAATTCTCAAAAAATTTCATTTTGCTTCAATTCTTATCTTTATTTTCTCAAAACACAAACAATCACACCTACATCACAATAGAGCAAGAAAAGTGTTAGATGGATCAATTTAAGTGTTTCAAAAGAAAATAAAATCAAACTAAGTTAGAGACCGGGTTGCCTCCCGTAAGCGCTTTGTTTTACATCGTTAGCTTGAATTTCTTGAAATGAAATCAAGGGGACTTGAACACATCAATAAGTGACAAATTTTTTGGTTTTGCGATTGGTTGACCCTCAAAATATGGCTTGAGACGGTGTCAAATCACTTTGAATGGAGGGTACTTGTCATTGTAGATCTCGATTGCACCGTATAGGAAGACCTTGGACACTTGGAATGGGCCGCTCCATCTACATCGTAGCTTTCCGGGAAAGATTTTGAGCCTTGAATTGTAGAGTAGGACCTTTTATCCTTCCACAAACTCTTTCTTGGAGAGTTGCGCGTCATGCCATGCTTTGGTTCTAGCCTTATACAAACTTGCGCTATCATAGGCATTCATGCGGAGCTCTTCTAGCTCATGAAGATCTAGCAACCTTTGTTCACCCGCGGCATGGAGATCAAAATTGATTTGCTTAATGGCCCAATTTGCCTTATGCTCCATTTCAACCGGGAGATGGCAATTCTTCCCATACACAAGCTTATAGGGAGTTGTCCCAATTAGCGTCTTAAAGGCGGTCTTATAAGCCCATAATGAGTCAATGAGCTTACTAGACCAATCCTTCCTTGTTCTAGCAACGGTCTTCTCCAAGATGACTTTCAACTCCCTATTTGTGACCTCCGCTTGACCACTTGTTTGGGGGTGGTAAGCAAGGCCTCGCTTGTGCGATACACCATACTTTGAAAGAAGCTTGTTAAATGTATGGTTCTTGAAGTGTGAACCTCCATCACTTATGATTGCCTTAGGAACACCGAATCTTGGGAAGATGACTTTCTTAAACAAATTGACAACCACCTTTGAGTCATTGGTAGGAGATGCCACGGCTTCTGCCCATTTGGAAACATAGTCAACGGCAACAAGAATGTGCCGGTTCCCTTGAGATGAGATGAAACGGCCCATGAAGTCAATTTCCCAAACATCAAAGATTTCGAGCTCAAGGATTGGATTTTGAGGCATCTCGTCACGCCTTGAGATGTTTCCCGTCCTTTGGCACCTATCACATGTCTTCACAAAGGACCAAGCGTCCTTGAACAAAGTCGGCCAAAAGAGCATCGATTGCAAGACCTTAGAGGTGGTCTTTTGGGCACTCATGTGTCCACCACAAGGAGATGAGTGGCACATTGAGAGCACAATTTGGAATTCTTCATCGGGAACACACCTCCTCAAAAGCCCATCCACTCCTCTTTTCAACAGCGTTGGATCATCCCATATGTATTTCTTGGCTTCATACTTAAGCCGTCGTTGTTGTTAAGGAGTGAAATTTGGTGGTATATCACTGCATGCAAGGTAATTGACAATGTCGGCAAACCAAGGGGTTTTCTTGGCATCAAGAGCATATAACACATCATCCCTTAAAGCATCTTTAGTCGGAAGGTCGTCTTCAATCATTCTTATGCTTCCCAATCTTGAAAGATGATAGCTACCACATTCTCGGCTCCCTTCTTATCTCTTAACTCCAAATCGAAGTCTTGAAGGAGAAAAACCCATCTCAAAACCCTTGGCTTTGCCTTCTTCTTGCTCATTAAGTACTTAAGAGCCAAATGATCGGTGTATACTATTGTCCTAGATCCAATGAGATAGGGCCTACACTTCTCAAAAGCATGAACAACCGCTAGGAACTCCTTCTCGGTTATGGTGTAGTTTTTTTGCGCATCGTTGAGAGTCTTAGACAAATAGGAAATCACATGTAACCTACCCTCTTTTCGTTGCCCTAGAACCGACCCGATGGCCTCATCACTTGCATCACACATTAATTCGAACGGTAGCGACCAATTGTGTTCTTGGACAATTGGAGCGAAACACAAGGCTTCTTTCAACCTAAGAAAAGCACTCAAGCAAGATTCATCAAATACAAAATCTTTATCTTGTTGTAGAAGAGATGTGAGGGGCTTAGAAATCAAAGAAAAGTCCTTGATGAAGCGGCGATAAAAGCCGGCATGACCAAGGAAAGACCTCACTTCTCTCACATTTGTGGGAGGAGGAAGCTTCTCAATCACATCAACTTTTGCACCATCAACTTCGATGCCCAATTGGGAGACCTTATGGCCAAGCACAATACCATTCTCCACCATGAAGTGGCGTTTCTCCCAATTGAGCACCAAGTTGGCACTCTCACATCTTTCTAGACAACGAGATAAATTCAAGAGGCACATCTCATATGTACCTTTGCCCACCGAAAAATCATTCATAAAAACCTCCATCTCTTCCTCAATCATGTCACTAAAAATTGACATCATGCATCTTTGGAAGGTAGCTGGAGCGTTACAAAGACCAAATGGCATCCTAGGGTAGGCAAAGGTACCGTAGGGGCAAGTGAAAGTGGTCTTTTCTTGATCCTTTGGGTCTATTAGGATTTGAAAGAATCCCGAATAACCATAAAGAAAGCAATAGAATGCATGCTTTGTAAGCCGCTCAAGCATTTGATCGATAAACGGTAATGGAAAACGGTCTTTGGAAGTATTAGCATTCAATTGGCGATAGTTAATACACATACGCCAACCCGTCACAAGGCGGGTTGGGACCAATTGTTGCTTGTCATTGACCATTACCGTCATCCCTCCCTTTTTGGGCACTACTTGAACCGGGGACACCCAATCACTATGAGTGATTGGATGGTTGATCCCCGCTTCAAGCAACTTAGAAACTTTCTTCCTTACAACCTCTTGCATGGAAGGATTAAGTTTCCTTTGCCTTTTCCTACATGACTTAGCACCCTACTCCAAATCAATTTTATGCATGCATAGAGAGGGGCTTATACCCTTGAGGTCCTCAAGGGTATAACCCAAAACATTTCTGTTCTTTTTCAAAACATTAAGCAATAGGGAGGTTTGCATTGACAATGACCGGGAAAGATTAATTTGCATCTAGGAAAGCATACCTCAAACCCGAAGGTAGAGGTTTCAAGTCTACCTTCGGTGCTCCCTTACCATTGGAGACCTCTTCCTCTTCCGCTTGGAAGACTTAATAAGTTGGGAGTATCTCTTGGTCGGTGGTTGCTTCCACTTTGTCATCAAGCATCTCCTCATATACTTGCATCTCCTCCTTTTGATCACCTATCTCCTTCTCATTGAACAATACGTTCTCAAGTGGATCGTTAGAGGCATGCACATGAGGGTATCAAAATTCATTCATCAAATTTTCAAAAGTATCTACCCTAAAGCATTCATTACTTGCGGATGGTTGTTTCATGACATTGTTCAAATCAAATTCAATAGAGTCATTATCAACCTTCAAAGTCATTTTACCTTCTTAAACATTAATGATTGTTTTAGAGGTAGCTATTAATGGTCTACCCAAAATTATAGGAATCCTCTCATCCTCATCCATCTCTAGAACATAAAAGTCCACCAGAAATGTGAACTTACTAACTCTAAGGGGAATGTCCTCAACTTTCCCTATGGGCAATTTAGTGGACCTATCCACTAGTTGGAGGGTGATGTTGGTAGGTGAAAGGCTTCCTACATTGAGCTTTTGGTAGACCAAGAAGGGAATAAGACTTACACTAGCGCCTAGATCGCACAACGCCTTTCCTAAGTGAATCTCATTAATGGAAAAAGGAATGGAAAAACTACTGGGATCTTGCAATTTTTTTGGAAGCTTGCTATAGAGAATGGCACTACAATTTGCGGTCAAGTTTACGGTTTCAACTTCTCTCTTCCCATTCAATAGGTCTTTTAGGAACTTAGAGTAGTGGGGCATCTCCTTCATGGCATCCACAAAAGGTATCGAAACATGCAAACCTTTGACTACTTCTAAGAACTTTCCAAATTGGGAATCAAGCCTAGACCTAGCAAACCTTTGGGGAAATGGAAATTTCTCATTCCTAGGTTGTCGATTTAGGGGCAAAGGTGTTTGATCTTTGTTACTCTCTTTTGTTGGCTCCTTCTCTTTTTGCTTCTCACCCTTCTCATTTTCTTTTTCTAGGACCTCACTCTCTTTAAGTGGCTCATCCTCATCTTCTAGTTCTATCCTCACATTGGAACTCTTGTCATCATTTGACTCACTCTCAAGGACTTTCCCGCTCCTAGTAGTGATAGCATACATAGGTTTGGGGTTGACACCTTGAATAGGAAAAGAGGAAGAGGAAGAAGGGGAGGATGAAGATCTATGTAGGGCTATTTGAGAGATTTTGGTCTCTAACATTTTCATATGCGCCTTGATTTGCTTCTTTTCCTCCTCTTGACTTTTGTTAAAGCTCTCTTGATTCTTGATGAATGCTTGAAGCACGCCCATCATAGAATCCGGAGCGGCTTCCATTTGAGGAGGAGGTAAGTTGGAATTTTGGGCTTGCGGTCTCACTTGCTCAAAGCCGGGAGGTCTATTTTGAGGCCTTCCATTTCTGGAACCCTGATTGGAATTAAAACGTTGTTGGTTGTTGGAATAGTGTTGTTGGTTTTGATTCCAATTAGGCCTTTGGTTTGAGTAACTTCTTCCATTGTAATTGGAAGGGTTTCCCCTACCTTGGCCTTGGTTATCATAACCACCACCACTTTTGATTAGGGAATTTTTATCCACCAATCACCGTCTGACAAGTGGACCAACCAGGTTCCGCCACGTGTTCTTCACGAAGGCCAACAGGAACCTGCCACGTGTCAATCACAGATACGTCCTCCACGGACCACTAAAGACACGCCACGTGTCCGCCCATACCAAATGGGAAAACCGGCCATCAAGGCCCAGTCCAGTCTAGAGGCCCGGTCAGCCCTAGGTTTACCTTAAACCTAGAGAGTTGCACGCTTCCCAAGGCTATAAATACTCGATTAATCCTCATTAATCAGGGGACCGAATAATTAAGAGATCAAGCAGAGAAGAACAGAGTTATTAACAACCGGCTAATCTCGCTAACAACGCAGATTACCAACACTAAGCACTCTCACCTAGAGAGATCTAATTACTTTAATTTCTGTATTGATTACTCCTTAATCGGGTACTAACTTGACCGTTGGAGGCGGAGCTCTCAGGAGTCTCCGTTATTTTGCAGGTACAGGCGTCCGGTTCCAGTCTCGGAATTGTAACTCTCCCGCAGGACATCAGAAAACCCAGAAACATTTGGCGCCGTCTGTGGGGAGAGTACTTCAGAGATGGCATCCAAGTCTGTACCGACTCCAGAAGAGAGGCGTCCCCTAGACGACCCTCAAGTTCAGTCGGACCATGATACCGAAAGTGAATTTGTTGTTGAAACTCATACAGCTCCAGACGGGACCCTAAGGGCCCGACGTACCCGTCATACCGAAATGAGGGAACGAGAGTGTCCTCAAACAGGAAGCGAGCCAGCAGGCGCATCGCTTGCTCGGCAACAGCCGACTGATGGGTCTGCTCCCATCACAAGGAACGAACTCATGACCTTCATGAGGGACTTCAAGGGAGAGATCCAAGAGTTGATCAACAAAAAACCGCCTGCTTCAGTCAAAGAGCAGTCGGCCAAGAAGCCTTCCACTTCACTGAAGAGGAAGCCAGTTCAAGGGCGAGAGGCGACTCCCCATCCTAAATCCAAGAAGCGGGAGCCGTCTGCTCTTGATTTCACAAAACTCCGTTATCCTACGGGAAATAGGAAACCGGTTCGTCATATTCAGGCGGACGGGTCAAAGCAAACGTTCACAGATGCTCGGCACCTGCTAGAGCAGAAGAAGAGTGACCGATTATCAGAGTCGGCTTCTACTTCAAATTTTCAGGACAGTTTGCGAAATGCCTCGATGAGGCCAACTCAGTCGTACCATGAGAGTCAGTCAGGCGGCACCTCCCGTCAGTCCGGCTTTCATAGTGCCCAGGCGGTACCAAACTTACCATTTGTGCCGCAACAACAGTATTTTATGCAGCCACCTCCATTTGGTGGACCTGCAGCAAAAAACGTCCAACCTATGGACTGGCAGCTACGGCTGCTTAGACTTGGTGAACAGCCGTCGGCCTTCTCCAAGGAAATTACTGAAGCCGCTCAGCCGGCCAAAGTAAAAAATGTTCTAGTAGGCGCCTATGACGGCACTACTAACCCAGAAGAACATCTGATGGCATTCACCAACCTGATGTACCTTCAAGGGTTGGATGATCCCACTTGGTGCAAGTGTTTCCCAGCGAATCTCAAGGGAATTGCACAGCAATGGTTCGGCAACCTGCCGACTGGTTGTGTAAACAGCTTCAGGACGCTTGCTTACTTATTTGCCTCCAACTTCGCAATGAACATCCCTGCGAAGAAAACGACCCTTGATTTGGGAACAATTCAGCAGGGCGAGAAAGAGGGGCTTCGTTCCTACATCAGGCGGTTCAACCTGATGAGAATACAGATTCAGGGGTTACCGGATGAGGTAGCTTATACTGACTTTTTTAGAGGTCTCAAAGACGGGTCTACCTTCAAATTTGATTTAGTTCGAAAAAGGGTGGCGACTCTTCAAGAGGCCTTGATTGAAGCAGAAGCCTATATACAGGCGACTGATCTGTGTACGATGAAACAGTCGGACGGGAAGAGGTTCGACAAAAGAGAGGGACGACAGAAACAGTCGTCCAACAAAGATGAAAAAAGAAAAGAGGTCTGGGCGGCTGATTCCTCTAAACAGCCGGCCTAGAAAAAGAAAAAAGAATTCAAACCATACTCCCCAAAGTATGTGTTTAACAAGGATAACCAGTTTATCCTAAAAGAAATAAAGGGACGGCTCTCAATTGAGAAGCCGCTCCCCATGAAGGGTTCTGCGAGCAACCGGAACCAAGACAAAATCTGTGCTTATCATGATGACATTGGTCATCACACCAATGACTGCATCAGTCTCATGCGGTACCTAGACCGCTTGGCTGATCAAGGTGATCTTGACACTTATGTCAAGAAATCTGCGGGGAATATTTCCTCAAAAAAGCAGTCGGCCAAAAAGAATCAACAGGCCGACAGTTCCGATACAGATGATGCAGTCGTCTACACCATTGCAGGCGGCTTCTCAGGAGGCGGCCCCACTATTAGGGGCAACAAAGATAATATAAGGCGGTTAGATGTAAATTCCATTCACCAAGAACAGCCGTCCAAATATACATTTCCTGAGATTGTCATCACTGAAGAGGATCTAGGAGGAATAAGGGGGCCGCATGACGACCCTCTCGTTATTGAATGTAAGGTGGCCAACCAGAGAGTTGGCCGAATTCTTATAGATACCGGGAGCTCCTCAGATCTCATCAGCAGCAAATGTCTGTCAAAACTGAAATATCAGACGGACTGCATACATCCGGCCTCCCACCCTTTAATAGGTTTTGGAGGAGGAGTCGTCCACCCACTGGGACGAGTGGATCTACCCATTCGCCTGGGCGAAAAAGGGGAAGGACGACACATGGTAGTCCGGTTCCTAGTGGTAGAGGAGCTCTCGGCCTACAACATGATTCTGGGTCGACCAACCCTGAATAATTCCAAAGCTGTTATAATCCCGTCACTTATGCTGCTTAAGTTTGAAAGGGATAATGGAACAGTCGGCTCCCTAAGGGGAGATCAGAGGATGGCCCGAGAGTGCTATCTCTCGGATGTCAAGCCCACTGTTATGGCCACTGGGTCAAGTGGAGAAAAAACAGACCTTGACAATGTCAAGGAAAGTGCGCCTGTTCAAGAAACAGGCGACAGAAAAAGAAAGGCGTCCCAGACAGAGTCCGCAAGAAAGGCAAGAAAATAGCAATCATTGGCAGAGGACCGGCCGGATGAGTTCCGCCCTCAGCCGGCTGGTGAGCATACGGACCTGATATTAGACGACTCCCATCCTGACCGAACAGTCAAAGTAGGGACGACTGCTCTGAGAAACCTTGGTGACGACTTTCACAACCTGTTGAAAGAATACAAGGACATCTTTGCATTTGAAGTCCATGAAATGCCAGGCATTAGTCCTGATCTGGCAGTACACAAACTCGTTGTGGATCCGAAAAAGAAGCCGGTACGACAAAAGAAGCGGAACCATGGTGAAGAAAGAGGTCAGGCGGCAGCCGCCGAAGTCAAAAAATTACTTGATGCAGGGTTCATTCGGCAATGTTACTTCCCAGATTGGGTTGCAAATGTGGTGCTTGTTAAAAAGCCGAATGGCACCTGGCGAATGTGTGTAGACTACACAGACTTGAACAAGGCGTGCCCCAAAGACAGTTACCCTCTGCCTAAAATTGATAACCTGGTCGACTCAACAGCCGGCCATGCCTTGATGAGTTTTATGGACGCCTATTCTGGTTTTCATCAAATTCCTTTATGGAAGAAAGATCAGGAGAAGACGGCCTTCGTCACTGATCAGGGATTATACTGTTACACGGTCATGCCGTTTGGTCTTAAGAATGCCCCGGCTACCTTCCAACGAATGATAAACACAGTGTTCTTTGATCAGATTGGGAGAAACGTCGAGGCATACATTGATGATATGATTGTCAAGACTAAACTTCAGGAAGATCATCTGACTGACCTCCGAGAAACTTTCGCCACACTCATGCTCAATCCCAAGAAATGTGTATTTGGAGTTGAGTCTGGGAAATTTCTCGGATTCCTTATCAACCAGAGAGGAATAGAGGCGAACCCTGAGAAGGTACAGGCGGTCATTGACATGCAGTCGCCTCGTACCGTCCGAGAGGTTCAGAAGTTAACAGGTTGTCTGGCGGCCTTGGGAAGATTCCTAAGCCGATCAGGCGACAAATGCTTATACTTTTTCCAGGCAATTAAGAAAAAGGCAAGGTTTGAATGCGGGCCGGATGCTGAGGCCGCCTTCCAGAAATTAAAGGTTCACTTGCATTCCTTGCCGAGGCTGGTCAGCCCTTTGCCCAAAGAAAATCTCTACATGTACCTGGCCGTCTCTGATCATGCGTTAAGCGCGGTGCTCCTTGCTGAAAGGGACGGCTGTCAACTTCCGGTCTACTTTGTCAGTCACGTACTGAAAAATGCCGAGTTGAGGTATCCCCTAGTGGAGAAATTTGGTCTTGCACTCTTCATGGCTGTTAAAAAATTGAAGCCCTACTTCCTGGCACATGCAGTCGTCGTGTATACCGACCAACCGATCAAGCGGCCCCTTACCACCATGGAGTCCTCCGGACGAATGATCAAATGGGCCATAGAAATGCAGAGTCTTGAAGTTACTTTCGAGCCTAGAAAAGCAGTGAAGGGGCAAGCCTTTGCTGACTTTATTGTAGAGATGACTCGTCCTCCTGACTCTCAAGTTCCAGACCAAGTCTGGAAGGTATATGTGGACGGAAGCTCTACTGCAAACGGTTGTGGAGCAGGCGTCGTATGTCAATCTCCAGAG